CAGTTATTAAAATAGACGCTCTATTATTAACTCCCATAGTAGTGGTAATTTTTACCTAAAAGCGCGTTTTTTAACAAAAAATCGAGTGGCTAGCCGTTTGGGCGGGCGCTAGAAAAAGAATTAAAAAAAGCGCCAGTTTCGGCCTATTACCACTACTTCTGTGTTTGCTTTCACTTTAAATTTGTCAATTGAAATCTTGTAGTCTAGCAACCATCATGATGCATTTTAACAAGTAACATGTAATACGTCGCACAAAAACTTCGGGTCGTCACCCTATAAGAACTTGTGGACAGAATTTTGTAATATAGGAAAAAGTAAGTTGAATCTGTTGAACACTGAGCAAATGCTGCAGTTTTTGCAAATGCATTTATTAAAGGCAACAAGTGGTCATGAGCGCCAAGGCGAGAAAAAAAGATCAGTTAAGGCTAAAATCAATATTTGGAAATGTTGTAGTGCAAGCGTTCTTTCTCATTTCGCACTGAATTTGAAGATATTTATAACGCTTTGGTTTGAATAGACATCGTTGGATTTGTGGCAGACAACAATGTGACAGTTTCACAAAGCAAGTGTATTCATTTATGTATTTGTTCCAGTCTCGATGGTTAACAATGTTGGGTGTTACTATGACAACATGGAGCTAACGCTAAAAGGGATTCATCGACAAGGGATTTTTTTCTGAATAAGGTGTTGTTAAACTTCTGATGATGATTATTCTTAGACTACTTTTTCTTCGGTGACGCACAGTTCAAACGTTTTTCATTTTTTTGAAATTACGAAAAAGCTTGTTCGCATTTTTTCAAAATGTTTATATAAAAAATAAAGATACTGTGTTTATAAAATGTGTACAGTGTTTATTATCTATTTAGTTACTCTTGGCTTTCGAGTACTTACAGTGGCTTTGCACGAAAACTTCCAGATAGAGTCGCGCTGCCATCCAATGACAGTCAGAAAAGAGTATGAAGACTACCAAGGAGGGCTACACATGGAAAACAAGGTGTTGCACAACACTGTGGGATTGTAAAGCTGCAAAACTGTCAAAAACACTATGTTGTTTGTCTTTCAGTGTTTTATTTATGAACATTTTTAGRTGAGTTTTTTTACAAGTGACAATAATACTTAGTTCTGTGCTCAGCTGTGGATAGCAAGTAAAATGATAGTGATATAACATGAATAAAAATACAAGTAAATCACTGTACTTTCTCATTAAAGACAGTAAAGACAACTCATATATCTCTACACCTCACAACACTTATATGTTCTTGTAGTACCAAACGTCGAGTATCTGAATCCAATTTTCATATTTGCACTTGGTTTTACAATTTAACCCAAATTTGCCAATATTAAAATTTCGTATCTAGGRAACCAACCTAAGCTGCTAAAATATATACAACAAAGAGTTTTTTATTTGAACATCTTTCAATCACGGTGTGTACTGAAGTCGTAGTCACTCCATCTTGCTCCATAGCCGCGTCAGTGTTGTTGGTAATGTTAAACTCCGCCATGTTGCTTCTAAAACTGGCCATTTTATTGACCGTTGAATCAGTGGTTCRAGGCTTCTTTGAATGGAAGAACTGCGGTAAGTAGATTATTAACCCTGAATAACATAGATGCATCAAAACCATACAGTCAATCATCTCTTATCCTTCCACATATACATAGCTCACGTCGACAACAGGTTTTACAAAGCAMTCGTTTCGTGAAAAGAGAAAAGTCTAGCTACAACTAAAGCACTTAATGTTGTAATCACTGAGCACTAGAGTACCATGCTTACAATGAATAATAGTAATTGTTTTATCATATAATTATCTGTAGAATACCTATATTTCTCCATTACGTAAAGTTGTTATTATTTCACTATTTTGTGAAAGTTATTTGCACTAATGAAAATAACATATTCGTGGTATCTTTAAATATCGGTAAATAAAAGTTCTTTTTTAAAACAATTTTTGCTTTTATTGATAATTATTCGCTATGCTTTGTGAGAGCTCTTTTCAAAACTGGTAGATAAAATCCGTATCTCCGCCCTCGCCCATGTAAATATTCTCCATATATCCGCACTGGATGAGGAGTGGTCTTAATCCATTCATGGCTACGCCGGACATAAGAAACAATATATGGTCATGGATAATGATAATTAAGGATATAKGAATATTAACGTAAATCTCATTTGCATAACGCAAGAACCAATTTAGCCCTTGACGTTTGACGGAGCCTAGAATAATGAGCCTTGGAGATTTAATAAGGTAAAYGATCACATGCTGTCAAAAGGGCCAAWTTGATCACTAGACATCCTGCTATTACCAGTAACTGGCATCATAAGAACCTTCAAAAGCCTAAATAGCCTTGAACTCCATAACATGCCACCTTGCCAGTTAGAGCCAAACCTTTAGGCTAACTTACTTAGAGAAAAGCTGCTGTAGTTGTTTTTGTTTGAAAATAAAGCTATTAACTAAGAATTATAGCTAGACTTGAGAAAACTGTAGCTTAACCAAAGGTTCAAAATTATATATTATTTGGAATCGTGTTCTGAAATTATCAAACTGCGTTCAAATCAATTTCCATGACATTTCGTCCATTGTCAGTATTGTCAATTAACAAAAAAGTTTACAAAGGGCGTGCACACAGTCATTTAAATAGAAAATACATATATTTGGCTGTCAAGAAGAGCATTTTATCAGTTTCATGAAACAAGTGTCGATATTTGTACAGCTTATGGTGTTTAACAAAGTCTTTTGATCAAAACTAAAATCAAAAGTCACTAAAGAGTAAATATTGTTCTTCGAGCAAATTAAAACTCAAAGATATAGTAATTATGCTATTGAATGTTCACTAACATCGAAAACACTGTCAGTCATAACAATTTAGGTAACAATTTCATGTTGATTTTCCTGAAAGCATCTTCAGTTGTAATTATCTATAATAGATTTWAAAATGTTTCTGACTTGGCAGTGTTCCTRGGCAGCTACATTTGATACTGTAACACTTTTCATGTTTTATTATCTTTCCTTCATTCTATTTCTCTTTTCCTTTTCATTTCAAACATTCTGTTCTTAAAATTTCCTTCATTTAGGATTATTTGTGTTGTTGAAAACCTGAATTTATTCAACCGGAGTAACTGCATAAGKAAAAAACGAGAGCGGAATAGTCGACTTCACGGTTTCCTGGGGCATCTTGAAAGGTAGCCGTGCATTTACATCGAAGCGAGACGACCGCTGAGCGTACAATGATAGATACCTGTTAAATTGTCTGTCTCAACGTTCGTCTCGCTTCGATGTAAAGGCACGGCTACCTTTCAAGATGCCGCAGGGAACCGTTAAGAAGTCTATTTCAGCTCACTCAAAACGAAATTGCGTTGCAAAATCTCTATAGAACTCATTTTAACCGGCTTTTGATAATTTCATTAAAARAACGCGGAACTTCAATTTTTATTGAATCAAATATAATATATAATGACCATTTCCTCAGAAGACAATGAAGACTGGAAATAGTGTATCACAAGACCGAAATGCATTGGCGTCGTTCAATCACCGTTGCGAGTTGTCGTGGTATCATATTGAGTCACTAATACGAGCTAAGTTCAATCAAAAACTTCAATGGAAAGCAATTTTAAAAGTTTAGAGTGTAGATATTAAATTTTACAATTTTAAAAGTGTAGGGTGTAGATATTGTAATAATGCATTGCGATCTTGGAATGCACTGTGCAGACGTATAGTATTCAATGTTCAACTTTTTCTTGTATAGCTGTATATACTGAAAAAACGTAACAACTGCGTTTGATRCWATATATGATACTRATGAATAAACATCAGTGCTGTATYYAATGCATGGAAAATCACTTGAAAAAATCGCGCGCTTTAAAGGTTGTAAATTTGATGTMAATATCATGTAAGTGTCCAAAATTCTTTAAATTTGATGTAAATGATTTCCATTAAATTTACAGAATTTTGGACACTTACATCATATTTACATCAAATTTACAACCTTTAAAGCGCGCGATTTTTTCCAGACGTGAATCCGTATTAAATTGCGCTAGCAATTAAGTTCTGTATCATATATTTYCAGTTGCACTGCCAGACAAAGTTCCTGCTCCTAAAGTTATCAAAGCTCACGGCTGCGAAGACAAAGATGATGTTGTTCTGTCTTGTCCGTCTGGTTCGAGGATTGCTGTGACCAAGGCTTTCTTTGGTCATGGACATGGACATAAAGCCATCTGTGACAGCAGCTGGTTTTCGCAGAACTGTAGAACCACGGGTGTTCATAATAAAGTCAAATTTCTGTGTCAAAACAAGCAAAATTGTACAATMAAACCAGTGGAAAAAGTACTTGGAAAAACGTCCTGTGTGTTTGGATTGGATGCAGATTTATTTGTTGAATATGTCTGCAATAAAGGTAAATTGTTTCTTACTAAAAATCTTGTTACCATGTGTCCTTCGCACCGGAGGTGGGGGACTCCGGTATACAAGTACCTGGGATGCTCGTCAGATCTCTTAGGGGTAAAAATTCTTCATCTGGAATCTTTTATAGGGTGCCAATTTGGAGTTTCTGGAAATTGCTTTTTTCTGCATCACTTATAGGGTGTCGGAAAAGAAGAGAAAGAGCGTGTCGATAATGATTTTCCTTTGTTTTTTTCATCATTGAAATTGAATTATGTAACAATATTTGTTGTGCAATCTCTAAGGGGTTAAATATCAATCACCCACGTCCTTTTTTCTCTTTTTTTGTTTGTTTTTCGTGTTGTTTGTTTGTTTTGTTTTTGTTTGTTTTTCGTGTTTTTTGTTTTGGCATGCGCTGGTACAGTATCATAGCATTCAATGGTTGTCTTTTTTTTGTCGCGAAGAACCGAAGAAGGATCGATCGAGATAGATAGACTACTAGTTTATATACCAAATGTACATATCAGCCTGACAGTTGCATTGCGCACTATTTACAGGAAATTACATGTCAAATTATAAGAAGAAATAACTAATTCATGATGTGCAATTTTAAAAATCCCTCGAAGCAGATCGACACAAGGTTAACATAAGTTATCTCTTCATTGACTCCCYAGTGCCAGGGCTTATTTGCTCCCTTGTAGKACTTGAAARTTATGTCTTCTAATTCGTTCATTGTAGCTGCAGTCTCGGATGTGATATCGATCAAATCGATGACGCTCGCCCCAAGCCCTCTCACCCTACCAGGACGAGTCAATGCGTCTCTCTCTGTGCTGGTCAAACGTCGTCTTCCTTCAACAACTAAACTTAAGCTTGATGTGGAGAAGAAAGTCCTTGGTGCAGCTTGGATCTCGATTCCATGTATTTCRAATTATGGATCCTGGTAAGGAATTCCAGTTTAATTATACGGACGAATGTTGCAATACTCCATTTTTGAATACGACTTTTTCCGACCGCTGCTTTAGTTGACAACAGTCAAGATTTAGTGTTGAAGTGCATGYCGGGATATAACGTTATTAGTGTGCGTTCAATGATTCGATTCAAAAATTTTTACAATAATTTTGTTTTGTTCCCTAAACAGTACATATGATAACTTCTGTGATCTTCTCCGTGGCGTGATGTTCAGCAAGTGTGACCGTGACATGCAGAACAAAGGAATCCCATGTGACTGTCCCATTCCTACTGGCTTGTTTACCGTCCCGACCCAGTCCATCGTCGTGASGAAAGAAATGATCAAGAAAATTCCTGTTTGGGATTGGCTTGTGAATGTGAGTATGAGAATCGACAATGCTGTCCCGAAATTACATTTTAATCTCCCATAAGCAGACATCCTTGGTAGATCTGTCCGCCTAGACGGTGCAACTTTTGCCTACAACTATCACATGCAACATGCCTAAGTCATCCTTAAAACATGGCTAAAACTGTCGGAGGGTTATCAAACAATTGTTTTTAATCTCTACGACAGTTGTAGCTATGTTGTAAGGATGACTTACGCGGGTTGTATGTGATGGTTATATGAAAAAATGTTGTACCGTTTAATCGTGAGTGTTTATACGGAAGAATTAAATAAAAAATCGGGGTTTAAAAAGTTGTCGGCGATAAGAGCTGCCCGCTTACGAGAGCGTCCGCAAGTGAAGATTCTACTGCAATTTAATAATTTAGAAACTAAGCCGATTAAAGGRCCTTATCCACAGGCATCACTACCGACATTTGCTTATGTTTGAAAATAAAACGAGCAGAAGACTGGAAATGAGCACCTTAAACGGTCCATATTTTTAAAATTCTCTTCACGATAAGCAAGAGTATATAGTTAAACTAGTGAATTAGCGTATTTTTTTCAAATGGTAAAATATCGGCAGACCTACAAGGACTTTAAAACTTACCAAAAATGTGAAAAGGAGGCTGGTAAGGCCTCCACCAAACACCTGTAATTTCTGGTCCTTAAACGTAAAAGCATTGAAACTTTCAGATCTCACTCATTATAATATATTCTTTCAACGGGTAGTTATGATAAACTCAGGCGCTACGATAGCCACGCCCTTTTTCATATAGTCTTTTACAAGCAAAAACTTACTCTTTTTTATGGGATATGTATGGAGATATTGAAGTCACCTCATTTTCTATATATGAAAAATCTAAAACACGACCGCATTGAATGCCGGTAGAACATTACCCTTTAAAAGACAAGAGATAAACACTGAAGCTGAATACTCGGTTATTTTAGTCAATTTATAAATAGGAAAAGTTCTTAGTTTTATTTCTTTTATTTTGTGATACTCCAGTTTCGAATTCTCTTTTGTGAAAGCTTAGCTTTAATCAAGCATAAACTGTTCATATTGTCTTCTTTCAAAGTGTTTGCATCACAATAGGATCTCTGCTGAATAAATGAATATATTACATGCTTTCGAGGTTAAGGCTGCACAAATAAGATCTCGAAACTGGAGTATTGGGAGTAAATGACAAACTACAGGATAGCAGCTCCACACTAATGGAAACCATCACAAGGGCCAATGCATGTCAGACCGCTTGCAGCTTTCAATTTATGTGCCACCTTACCACGCAATACGATGATATTATCACGATCTTCAACAGGTCATTTGCATGGTCACGTCATACCTATTTTTATACCTTTTGGAAAATTGGTTTAGCAAAAATCTGAATAACAAASTTTTTAGGCAATTTGCAAGGCATTCTGGTCATTTTATTTAAATGACGGCATCCTGCAATTATCTATTGTTGCTAAGTTCAAAATACCTTTAGAAAATATTTCTTTTGAAAAGTCTTTGATTGATGCATATTAGAATTTCAAGGCATAAATCTGTTTTATCCAAGATGCACTTTTAAACGGATCTCAATGAAAAAGAGGAAAAAACAACAAATTAAAAAAAAATCGTTAATTCAACCTGCGAGTAAGATAGTACATAAACTAACGAATCTTTTCTTATGTGAATGAGACTAGAAAGATAATCATAWACTATTCCATTCCAGGGCAAGTACCGAGTCACTGCCGAGTTTCTTGACGTTTACAACAACGTCATTAGTTGTATTCAATTCCAAGTCGAAGTCGACGTCAACTCCAAGAAAAAGAAAAGAAGCTTAAAGAGAAATCACAGCAAACTTACGTTTGCTYGAGAGAAAATTAGAAAGCGGTACATTAAAACATGCAATAAAATGTAGTTTAAAAGTTCCACTGGATCCGACTAAACGTTTATTGTTTAAATCTATACAGCTATTAATCTTGCAGATATCCCAAACAGTTAACCCAGTAGTCCATTTATAATTTCTTGAGTTTTCATTGATCTGTGGAAAAAGCGTTGACTATTAATAAATACTTGGTAATCATGTGGATTATGTGTTGGTTGAGCTGGTTGAGCGACAAAATGCGCTTTGCTGCAGACTGTGTAAATTAGTGCCAAAGTACTCAATAAACTCTTTTAGCGATCTCTTTTACGCTGTGTTAGCCTCAAAACCATGTAATACATTCTTCTATCCACTAACAGCCCGTGCAAATGCAAGAGATCTGTGAGTATAGAAGACAATGGAAATAGTTTTGAAATTTCACTAGTATCTAAATTTCTGAATATTTTGCACGCAATTGAGGCTAATCACAGCGTAAAAGAGATCGCGAAATTCAACTATTCAATCAAATGTTCCGCTAAAGTGGATTTCGTATGACTGTGCAAAAACCACGGCACTTTCGAGCATTAACCGTGCCGTGATGGTGTATATTCTTGAATCACTATTTTTATTTGGCGTCACTACCAGCACAGGGCGCCCAGGCTCAACAGTTGTGTTGCTTTCACGGCGGTATTAATGTATCGCGTGGTTCGCGGTTCGAGCCCTCTGGCGTGATCCGTGCTTTTCCCCAGTCAAACGACATCCGCTCTATATGAAATCAGAAAACAAGGGAGAGAGAGAGACAGAGAGGGGTGGGGGGAGGGCGGCAGACAGAGAGGGGAAAGAGGGGGGGGGGGACAGAGAAATAAATTGGTGGTGTTTGTGTAGTAGTCGAATACCTGTTAACAAAGACCACAAGTCTTAGCACACCAGTAACTCATTTCTTCTTTGTATATAGAGCAATAGTTTGCATTTTTGTAAGCGGGACAGTGTTCCAACTTATCCTTACATACTGTAACAGAACAGGTCTAGTTTAGTATTTTGATGTCACCTCTAAGCTGTAATTATATGTATTCACTTATTTCAAAAAACGTGTGTCAGTAAACGGCGCATTGTCGAAGGAAGATTGCACGACCGAAAGGGACTATGGTTACGCTGTTTTGACAAACAAAATTTCGGTGAATGGGCTCAGCTTACAAAGAAATTGAGACTATAAAAATGGAGCCAGGATTGTGTAAATCAGTTGTTATTTTTAATTGATTAGCAAAACCCATAGCTACTTTCGGTCGTACAATTTCAGTTCGACAATTCACATTCGCCATATCATCGGCGACAACTGCGACGAATAAAAACTAATAAAGAGCAATGATCGTCGAGGTAAAATATAATAATCTAGTAAGCGATTATTAATAATGGGAATAGAACCCATAACCTCTCCGATACCAATGAAGTGCTCAGTAAAAAGTGCTCAAAAGATAAACTATAGTTTGCTTAAAGTGAAACTGAACCCTWTWAGAAAATCRTTTTTAACAAAAGGCAAATATGATGCTAATCTCATGGTGCTCGTGTTTCRTCAACCAATTTTGTTTTATTTACCAGTAAAATTAAACAAAATTGATGAAACAAAATTGATGAAACACGAGAACCATGAGTTCAAGTCCAACCAACATTTGACGTAATGATTCTAATGATTTCCTTGAGGAAAAAAAATTGCTTGAATTTTCTTTTCTAAGTTTAAGGCATTTGAAAATTGAAAATGCTAATGAAGTGACGTCAATCAAGGAATTGGGCTGGAAGTTTTTCATTGTTTGCGATATCTTGTGTTCGGTTGAAATGATCAAATCATCAATAACAGTAATATTCAAGAACTGGAAAAGTCATCTCCGATGTAAAAAAAGAGTAATGTATTTTTTTCGTGATTTTGAATATTAAATCATTCATTAGTAGACGTCACTTAATTTGCATTTCCAATTTTCAAAAAATTTCTAAATACAAAGATATAAATTTGAATGTTTTTTTTCCCTTTGCAGAAGTGCTTAGGATAATATTCTCCTTCGAACGAAATGACTTTCTAGAAGGTTTCAGTTGCACTTTAAAGTGCCTATGACGCCTGACACAATAATTTCTGACTTCTCTGTGAGCTGAATAAACTATATCAAGTAAATAYTTGAATTGCGAAATATTCCTGCATTTCAGTGTTGCGTCTGCATGAGTTATGAARGTTCAATCTTACAATTATGTTAATGAAAATGACGTCAAAGAAGGCTTCATTAGATATACGAGCTGTGAAGGAGTCGCTTAAAAATGGTTTCRTGGCATTAAATTTATCGCAGACAAAGTAGGGAATAGCCATATTCCCAGATGGCGTTCATGAAAACATTYAATTTATAGCTCTTTATCTAGAATCAGTTCACAGAGAATCAGGCGTCATAGGCACTTTAAGCTGATAAAGATACTTATTGTTGCTGATAGATAGTACATGTTTTACCAGGGGTTGTGAGTGGTTGTTTTGTAGGGTTTGTTTTCTGTGGTGCTGTAGAATAAAGAACAGTCATTCAAACTCATAAAYAATTCATCTAATCATGACMTTATTAATAATTCATGAGATCATTACCCAATCTGAAAAAAGAATTTCGTCACGTGCATAGGTTTAGATATCAGGTCTCAAACTGTTCTCGATCATCCCACATCAACTATAGTATTTAGTATAAACATACTAATGRTCTATCACTCATACTGCKCTGTGATTGGCTACTCTACTAATGGTCTAATTTRTGATAGACCACTCGCGGGAAAATCAAAATAAATAAATTATARATTATAAATTAATTTAAGRATATTTCAATTTGTTTTCTTTATTTGACCGATTAGTATGTTTATACTAAAACAATTAGACCTCTCGCGGACTCGGCCTCATGGGCTATTAGCTCGTAGWCCACTCGACCTCGAGGTCTAATTGTTAATTATCAAACATTTATTGAACTAGAGAAGCCATTTCTTTTGGATCAGGCTCTCCAAACACCTCGAAACATGCAATAAAGGCTCGGTCTCTGCCTTCGTCTTTTTATCAATCTCATTAGTTTTGGTGAATTTTCCGAGAGTCATGCCATTTAATTTTTTTCTTTTTTTTATGCCATTTAATTTTGCCCTCAGATGAACATTCTGACCTAATAGTACAAGCAGGCAAGAGAATGATGTACATACCACCATAAAGCGACTGTATCCCCGCAATGTCATCACTGTGTAGTTTCATGTTAGGTTTATAGCCATTGTAGTATGGATACATCACAGCACCCTCAATGTTGGTATGTTCTAAACCAAGGGAATGACCAAACTCGTGTGTAGCGACCCACAATAGATCCGTACCGTCTAGACTCTCATGGGTGAACCTTTCTGCCTCGTCAAAATGAGCGCGGCCGTCGTCTGGAAAGTACGCATGCGCAAGAACACCTCCTTCGCCGTCAAAAGGATAGGCACACATATGTTCACCTGTAGTCCCATCATGACTTTTATACCCAAAGCTGAAGTAATAATTGTAATTCACGACATTCAAAAATGGCGCGATATATTTTGCTTTAATACGGACAATACGATAATCACATGGTCGCTTTATTTTTTYTATATGTATTTTATGSAAATTTGCTCGCAGCCTAGCTGCAGGATACCGTCGGACCGGGCAGATCGTGAAAAACCGGACCGCGCGCTAGCCAATCACAGCGAATGACTAGGATACCGGACCACGCGCTAGCCAACCACAGCGCGCGAATGACTAGAATACCGGACCAAGCGCTAGCCAACCACAGCGCGCGAATGACTAGGATACTGGACCGAAAAAATATATATGGATTTTATTGTTTCCTGCTGAAAATCTCTTTTCGACACTCAAAGATAAAATCCGTAACTCTGCGCATGTAATATCCTCTTTATATATAATAACCAGACAGTTTGTGTTCAGATGAGTGTATGTGAGAGAGAAGTACCTGATCTTAATGTCAGCCTGATGAGTGTATGTGAGAGAGAAGTACCTGATCTTAATGTCAGCCTGATGAGTGTATGTGAGATAGAAGTACCTGATCTTAATGTCAGCCTGATGAGTGTATGTGAGATAGAAGTACCTGATCTTAATGTCAGCCTGATGAGTGTATGTGAGAGAGAAGTACCTGATCTTAATGTCAGCCTGGTGAGTGTATGTGAGATAGAAGTACCTGATCTTAATGTCAGCCTGATGAGTGTATATGAGAGAGAAGTACCTGATCTTAATGTCAGCCTGATGAGTGTATGT